TCTCTTGTATCTACTTGAGCTAAGAGGCACACTCCTCACGAGTATCACTTTATGTCCCACAGTCCAGTCCAATCCCTGTCTGAAGAGTTGGCCTCAGAAACTGTCTTAGTTCTGGGCTGACAGAGAATCCAGGGGCCATGCTTTCCGGGGTTCCTCCAGTCTCAGTCAGACCATTAAGTCTGGTCTTCTTACAAGACTTTGAGTTCTGCACCCCACCTCTCTCCTGCTCATTTGGGACTCTCTTTTGTGTTCCCTGTCAGGGCAGTCATTAGTGGCAGCTGGGTACCATCTAGTTCTTCTGGTCTCAGGCTGATCAAGTCTCTGGTTTCTGTGGCCCTCTCTGTCTCTTGGGATAATATTTTCCTTGGGTCTTTGGTGTTCTTCATTCTCCTTTACTCCAGGTGGTTGGGACCAATTGATGCATCTTAGATGGCTGCTTGCAAGCTTTTAGGACCCGAGACACCACTCCACCAAAGTAGGATGCAGAACATTTTCTTAATAAGCTTTGTTATGCCAATTGACCTAGATGTTCCCTGAAAACATGGTCCCCAGACCCCTACCCCTGCTACTCTGTCCCTCAAAGTGTTTGATTGTATTCAGGAAACTTCTTATGATGCTATTTATTAATCTACTTGCAAGTAATGTCAAATTTTCAAGTTGCTCCAGAGAAAACCACCTTTTTACTTTCTTTTTTATCAGCCTCTGAATATGCTGAAGGAACCTGCTGACAATGCTTCAGAGGCAAAGAACTTAAATGATAAATGTGTTCGTCAATCTGTGCACCAGTCAAGGAGCAATAAAATCAGAATAATTCATGCAAAAATTTTCATTATGTTTCTAAACATACTTATTTACATTTTAAATCACACATTAGACAATACGAAATATCTTTCATTCAGACAGGTGTGAACAAGAAAACAGATGCATTCATTAAACATGGAACAAATCGGTGAATTAAAAAAAAAAAATACTCAGAGAACTGTCTGTTGAAGTACTTCAGCCATTGTTAACTTACTTGAAAAAATATGGCCATGGCTCCGATTATTCTGTTTTCAGAAATTGCAGTTTGAAAGCTGTCAAAGTCATCTGGATTATAGAAGAAAATCTGCATCTGTAAAAGAAATAATTGAAAAAATGTATTAGGGAAATTTTCAAACCTACGCGAAGGCAGAGGGTATAATACAGTGACCCCAGATTCCCCACATAAGATTTTGCTAACTTTATTTACCTATCCAGAATTTTCTCTGCTGAAATATTTTAAAGCAAACCCAAGACATCATGTCATTTTGCCCCTGCATACTTCAGGATGCATCACAATACACATCTCATACGGTCAAAGTGCCATTGTGCCACCAAAACTAAGTAACACTGATGCCTTCTGACTACGTAACACCCAGGTCATGGTGAAAGTCCCTCATTAAGAAGCTAACTTTTTTTTTTTTTGTACTTTAGATGAAGGTGTACAGAACAAACTACCATCTCATTAAACAGTTAGTACACATATTGTTTTATGACATCGGTTAACCACCCCACGACATGTCAACACTCTCCATCTCGACCATGGGCTCCCTATTACCAGCTTTCCTGTCCCCTCCTGCCTTCTAGTCCTTGCCCCAGGGCTGGTGTGCGCCTTTAATCTCGTTTTGTTTTATGGGGCTGTCGCATCTTTGGCTGAAGGGTGAACCTCGGTAATGACTTCATTACTGAGCTGAAAGGGTGTCCGGGGGCGATACTGTCGGGGTTTCTCCAGTCTCTGTCAGGCGAGTGTGTCTGGTGTTTTTTTGAAGAAGCTAACTTTTAATAGAAGTAAACACTTCTAAGTAGAAAGTTAAATGTGAGATTTGGTCCACATGTTAAAATTAAACGAGCTTAAATGGGAACATCTTTGTAAACAACTGGCATACTAAGGATGAGAATTTGAAGGGGTCTCTCAGTAGCTTTCTGAAAGAGCCCAAATGGCGTATTTCCATCCATCCACAAAGAAATATAATGGTAATGATAATAGTAATGCTTTACACTTCCCCATTCGCCTAAAGCTATCTCATGCATTATTTCACTTAATCCTCTTAACAGCCCCTGTGAAGATAGGGCAGAAATTACTGCGCTCCATTATGGTTGAGGAAATTGTGATTAAACATCAGAGAAGAGTCTGAATTCTGGGCCCCTAGTCCCAGCCTTAGAGCCTTGGTGGCACAGTGGTTACGAGCTATGGCTTCTAACCAAAAGGTCAGGAGTTCAAATCCACCAGTTGCTTCTTGTAAACCCTATGGGGTAGTTCTACTCTGTCCTATAGGTTCACTGTGAGTCAGAATCGACTTGATGGCAACGGGTTTGTTTTGTCTTTGGGTTTTAGTCCCAACTTTCAACACCCCTCTTATACTTGGCTAGAGTTTCTTATTCAAAAAGCACAAATCAGATAAATCAACATCATTATACAATTTTAATGCTTGAACCAAACTAAAAAAAAAAAAAACAACTTGATGCTGTCAAGTCAATTCCGACTCACAGCCACCCTATAGGACAGGGCAGAACGGACCCACAGGGTTTCCAAGGAGCGGTTGGTGGATTCAAACTGCCGACCTTTTGGTTAACAGCCAAGCTCTTAACCACAGCGCCACCAGGGCTCTAATGCTTGAACACTCCTTGATATTTGAAACAATTCAGAGAACAAAAACGCACCGCAGAGTATAACTGAGAGACTTACATATGTGATAGAGATAACAGATCTGGGTTCCTAACGCAGTTCCTCCTTTACTTGCCCGTGAGACCTCAGACAAGCTATTTTTTGAGCCTCAGTTACCCCATGTATAAAACCGAGTCTTTCCAGCTGATAGGATGGGCACGGGGATCAAGCAAGCCAGGATAGCGTACAGCATGGAGCACCATGCGTAGACCTCAGTCAGTGCTCAACACATCTTCATCATCATCATATTTGGAGGTTAACATTTGGCAGGTCGTAACATTTCTGGCTAAGAATATGATTCTACTGAACCTTCTAGAATGACCTTCTTCCTTCCAGAAAATCAAATCTCTTCCATCATTAGCTCTCCTCTGGGCCTGTTTTCCCACTTTTCCAAACGACAGGATGCTATTTTCTATAATAGAATGTTTTTAACAACCACACCCAAGACTGACTTTGGAGACTGCACATTGAACAATAAATTCCCAGTGGGCAAAGCTAAGTCAGAGTGACTGGCTGAAACACAGGTCAAAGGGAAAAAGAGCTCTGCTGACTTAATTAGCCAACAAGGTAAATACACGGTGGCATGTCTTTTCTGAAGGGTGAAATCAAGTAGACCAAATCGGGACATTTCCTAGGAAAACTCAGGGCCTGGGGAGGCGAGGAGAAGAAAGAAAGGATGGGTAGATTCTTCTGGAAGATTTTCTTTCTTAAAAAGAACTATTTTTCCTGCATGGTGAGTTCCCACTGATTCTGCAGTTTCTTACAAATGTGTTGCCTTCAGGTTTCGACAGCTTTAGACATCGTGAATTTACAGGGAGAAAAACCCATTTGATGAGGTTCAGATGAAAACATTTAATACTGAGTGAATTGCTTTGAGAACAATGCTACTAACCCAAGAAAGAAACTGCACGCAAGTATACTCAGAAAATTACACTTCACTTTCCTTTTAAAACTTGGGCCCTCAAATTAAGTAGGTTCACAGAAGGCTTTCACATACTTCAGCCCCTGAGCAGGGGCTGCATTGTTTAATGTATCACCTGAATAGTGTGTGATACAAAATGCTTTAAGACCTCTTCAAGGGCATTTTCATTTACAACTGGGTAACGAAATGCATTTTTAAGAAAGTGTATTTGAGTCACAGCTCCACCCACCTGGATAATAAATCATCTCATTAAGAGAACAGCAGCAGAGGTCTGAAATATCAATTTCCCTTGCTATTTCTCCCAAGTTGTAGTCTACTGAGTTATGTTAGCTTTGAAGCTATCTTAAATACAGAGTAAATAAGTGGATGGGGTTTTGCTGGGTGAACTTGACTTTTTAGTTTTTTTTTGGTTGTTGAGACAAATTTGGGCAGAGGACACAAACCTACTTTCCAAAAATGTCTTTGGCTGGTGCTTGGGTGGCTACTGGCTACCAAATACCTTGAGTATCCCATCAAACTTCTGTATCTTCTCCAAAGAACCTCCCTTTAGCATTCTGTAAAGTGTGTCATTTCTAATAATGTGACTCTAAGTGATATTCGGAGACCACAGGTGGTGCAAGCGGTTAAGCAGTTGGCTACTAACTAAAAGGTTGGTGGTTCAAATCCACCCAAACACACCTTGGAAGAAAGGCCTGGTGATCTATTTCCAAAAAATCAGCCATTGAAAAAACCCTATGGCGCACTGTTCTACTCTGACACATGTGGGGTTGCCATGAGTTGGAATTGACTCAATGGCAACTGTTTTTTTTTTTTTTTTTCAGTGATGCTTACTACTTAGAAATTCCCCTCTTGGAGACTCACAGTGCACGTAAGCCAAAGAAAGGCTCTGGACAATCTGGCCATAAAGAGATCTATTAACTGTTCGGCATTTCCAGTTTCACCGATTATTTCCCTTTTACTCCAGTTGTACACATGCTCACTCTCTATCTGTATACACACACACACTTTTTTTTTTTTTAAACCTGAATCATTTGGGAGTAAATGGGAGATAATATTCCCCTTTGCCACTAAATACTTCAGTATGTAATTTCTAAGAACGACATTCTCTTACATAATCACGGTGCAATGATTACAATTAGCAAATTTCACACTACTACATTACTGTTATCTAATCCACAGTCCATTTGCAAAATCTGGCAAATGCCCAAATAAAGTCTATTATAGATACATTTTTAGTTCCCTGTCCAGGATTCAACCTAGACTCAAACTTCGCGTTTAGCAGCCACATCTATTTGTACTGCCCTCCTCCCACCCCATCCAGCCTTTCACCTGGAATAGTTTCTCAGTCTTGTTCGTTGACAGCCTGAAGTGAACAGACTAGTAATTTCTTAGAACTGGGTTCTGGCTCCTGTGTCCTCATGATGAGGTTCAGGTGGTGCATTTTGGGCAGGCTCACCACAGTAGCAATTGTGCCTTCTCAGGGCATCATATCAGGAAGCACGTGACGTGGGGTCTTCCCAATGGCGGGGGTGTTTATCTCGATCATTCAGCTAGGGTAGTGTCTAGTAGCCTTCTCTACTGTGAAGTTAGCAGTTTTCTTTTTGAAATTAAAAAAGTATTTTGTGCTGAGATACTTTGAGATTACATGAACATCCTGTTCCTCATTCAACCTTCAAACACTCGCTTTAGAATCCATCGATGACTTTTCCAACTCACTGGTGACTTTCTAACCGTTCCTTTTATATTCACTACTGGTGTTCCAGTGTAAGAAACAGCTTTCCCCTCTCCAAAGTTTGTTTATTTATCCATTCACTTATAACCAAATTACATACTCATTTTAAAGTTTTTATTCAATGGCTTATAATCCATTTTGACCTTTATTTATTTTGATACTCAAATTGCCCAAAATTTGCCCGGTGGGAGACCTGCAAAAGGACTTTTCACATGTCACAGTGACATGCATCATCCTTTTTTTTTTTTGGAACCTCATTGTCTAGCACAATAAGATATTCCAGGCTCATCTTTTATTTTCCCTGCCCCAGCCCTAGAACTGGCTATTTCTTGAGTGATCCCTGGTTCGTTTTAGAAATGGTATTTAAAGATCTAATAATTTTAAATAGAACTTTTCCAACATTTGAGAATAGAACACTTTAGTTCTACAAGAAAACTATAGAGCTTAAGGCCGAGTTGATCTAGTCCAACCAGGACCCACCCTCCTTGCAAGGGAAGAAAAGCTGAATCAACTTAGTATAAATAAATACTCTTCCATCATGCACATCCACGGGGCATGTAAGCTTCTCCAACCATGAAAACAAACTGTGTTATGAAGCCCAAACAAACAGCCACCTGTACACTCTGTGTACCAAGACACAATCATGAGACCGATAGGCCAAATATTTCAAAGACAAGAGTGAAAATCACAGGCCTGGGCGGATCGTTCAACCCAACCTTGCTGAATGGCAGGCCTGGAAAACCTCTGAGCATTTCTGTAGCCAGATCAAGCTGA